CCGCCTGCCGATGCAGGGGACGCGGGTTCATGCCCCGGTCTGGGAAGATCCCACATGGGCGGAGTGGCTGGGCCTGTGAGCCACAGCCGCTGAGCCTGCACGTCCAGAGGCCACAACAGTGAGAGGCCCACGAAACAAAAAAAAAAAAAAAAAAAAAAAAAAAAGGGACTTGTAGGAAAGTAAACACACCATGGGCAATGGCACCTGCCTAAAGATTACCTTAATACTGGCACTTGTTCCTGGAATATAAGGTAGCATTGTTAGCAAAAACTTTCTTTAAAAATCGAATCACTTAGAAAACAATAAAGTCCTTCCTTCTGTCCATCAGAACCCCCCAGTCCAAAGCCCAGCCCCAGGCACATGCAGGAAAGGGCCCAAGGCAGTATGCCTGTACGCTTGGGCAGGTAGTTTGCTAGCAGTTAATACAGCACATTCTCAACTTCAGATTATTCTAAACTTTAGGCCATTATGAAGCATGAACGACAATGGCAACCAGGGTGTGAATTGTCTTCACGTACACTGGCCTTGTGTTTGAGTGACAGACAATACCTGCGCAACAAGCGTGGGAATTCCTTACCTACTACTGCTATCAGTAAATGATTTACAAGGCCTACAAAAGAATGCATTTCTAACCGTGGGGCCAACCATCAGAGCCACTTGGACAGATGCCTCTGCCCTGAGCGTGTCCAGGTCATGTTCTTCTGAAATGAAACACAGCCTGGGCAGAAGAAGATCTGGGACATGGGCCCAGCCACAGAGCTGGCACCATGCTGCTCTACTTCTGTGACCTGCCGTGTGGCACTGCTATCGGCCAGGGATGCCAGTGAGAGTCAGCAGAGCTGGAGTCCACAGTGCTTGCTGTGACCAGGCACTCTTTTAGACATTGATAGTGTCACATAATTCCCATTTTACAGATGATGAAACTGAGGCTTAGAAAGGTGAAAGCATTTGCTTAGCTAATACACCTACAGGTTAACAGAATGAATAAATACCCAATAGGATACCACATATTATGAGAGAGTTAAACACCTAAGAAAGACACTTAATTTCAAAGTTTAAATCTTTAATCTTTTACCCCATAGATGTTGTCTAAGCACAGGTATCAGGAGACCTCTGGAAGAAGAATGATTCCTTCCCTCTCTCCTTTATAGTTAAGGTGACAGAAATTATCCACATAAACAATTCATGCACAACTGACCTTGGTGATCCTATCTCAAATTATGTCTCTAAAAAAGACATTTTTAAGTTGAGGTTAACTTTAAATAAAATATATAAAAGTATGACTGTATGTTAATAAATCCAATTTATGAAAAGTAAAAATGCATGCCATAAAAAATTCACACATTTATGTATAATCAATGTACAATTTGATTAAGGAAACAAAAACTCCTGACACTTTCAGGTTGTTATATTAATAGGAGACAATCTAAAATGACTAACTACAGTTTTGCCTTTTATTTTCCTTCCTGATCTTCCTTTAATAAAAAAAGAAACTAAAATATTTTGAGTTGAGTTATAATTAACATACAATATTACATTGATTTCAGGTGTACAGAATTCGATATTTTTGTACATTATGAAATGATCACTGCAATAAAAACCGTTACTATCTGTCACCATACAAAGTTGTATCAACTATATTCCCTATGAGTACAGTACATCCCTGTGACTTATTTCTTTTGTAGCCGGGAGTTTGTACAAAACTCTTAATCCTCTTCACCTATTTTGTCCATCCCCCTACCACCCCTCCCCTCTGGCAACCACCAGTTTGTTCTCTATCTAGGTGTCTGTTTCTGTTTTGTCTGTTCGTTTGCACAGCGAAGAAAACCAGCAGCAAAATGAAAAGGTAACCTACTGAATAGAAGATATTTGCAAATCACATATCTGATAAGTGGTTGATATCCAAAATATATAAAGAATTCACACAACTCAATTGAAAATAAAAACCCCTAAAGGGCTTCCCTGGTGGTGCAGTGGTTGAGAGTCCGCCTGCCGATGCAGGGGACACGGGTTCGTGCCCCGGTCCGGGAAGAGCCCACATGCCACGGAGCGACTGGACCCGTGAGCCATGGCCGCTGAGCCTGCGCATCCGGAGCCTGTGCTCCGCAACGGGAGAGGCCACAACAGTGAGAGGCCCACGTACCGCCACACTAACAAACGTAGTAAGGTAGATAGCTAGTGGGAAGCAGCCGCATGGCACAGGGATATTAGCTCGGTGCTTTGTGACAGCCTGGAGGGGTGGGATAGGGAGAGTGGGAGGGAGGGAGACGCAAGAGGGAGGACATATGGGAACGTATGTATGTGTATAGCTGATTCACTTTGTTATAGAGCAGAAACTAACACACCATTGTAAAGCAATTGTACCCCAATAAAGATGTTAAAAATAAATAAATAAATAAATAAATTGAAAAAAAAAAAGAAGAAGAAGAAGAAGAAAAAAAAACCCTAAAAACCCAATTAAAAACTGGGCAGAGGAAATGAATAGCATTTTTTTTCAAAGAAGACACACAAATGGCCAACAGGTACGTGAAAAGGTGTGCAGCATCACCAATCATCAGGGAAACGCAAATCAGAGCCACAGTGAGATATCCCCTCACACCAGTTGGACGGATATCATCAAAAAGACAGGAGAGAACAAGCGTGGGTGAGGATATGGAGAAAAGAGAACCCTGTGCTCTGTTGGTGGGAATGTGAATTGGTGCAGCCACTAGGGAAAACAGTAGGGAGGTTCCCAAAAAATTAAAAATAGAACTATCATATGGTCCAGCAATCTCACTTCTGAGTATATACCCAAAGGAAGTGAAAACAGGATATTGAAGAGATATCTGCACCCCCATGTTCACTGCAGTATTATTTACAATAGAAAACAACCTAGTGAATGCATAAAGAAGTGGGTGTGTGTGTATACATAAAATGGAATATTATTCAGCCATGAGAAAGAAGGAAATCCTGCCATTTGCAATATGGATAGAACTTGAGGGCATTATGCTAAGTGAAATAAGCCAGACAGAGAAAGACAAATGCTGCGCACTATCACTTATATGTGAATTCTAAAAACAAAGACAAAAAAAGTCAAACATAGAAATAGAGAGTAGAAAAGTAGTTGCTAGGGGTGGGAGGTGGTGGAAATAAGGAGAGGTTGGTAAAAGGGTAAAAAATTTCAGCTATAAAATGAATGAAGTCAGAGGATCAAGTGTTGGTGAAGATATAGAGAAAAGGAAAGCCTCATGTACTGCTGGTAGGAATGTAAATTGGTGCAGCCACTACGGAAAACAGTATGGAGATTCTTCAGAAAATTAAAAATAGAACTACCATAAGCTATAGCAATTCCACTCCTGGGTTTTTATCCAAAGAAAACAAAAACACTAATTAGAAAAGAAATATGCAGCCCTAGGTTCACTGCAGCATTATTTTCAATAGCCAAGATATGGAAAAAACCAAGTGCCCATCAACAGATGAATGGATAAAGAAGATGTGGTACATATATACAATGGAATATTACTCAGCCATAAAGAAGAATGAAATAATGCCATTTGCAACAACATGGATGGACCTCAAGGGCATTATGCTAAGTAAATAAGACAGAGAAAAACAAATACCATATGATTTCACTTATATGTAGGATCTGAAAAAAACTTTCATAGTAATGAAAATAACCTATAATTATATCACCTACATTTAATAAATAATATTCTTTATAATGTTACAAATTATATAACTTTCAAAAATTGTTAGAAAATATCTTTGTGATTTTTAAAAAATTGAAATGGATGTATTAAAATTTATTTATTCAGTTGGGTCCATTTTTGTTGTTCTACGTAAAGCCACCCTGAACTATCCTGTTCTTACTGGTGTGTTTAGACCTCTGACTGTATCCTCAGGATGCATCCTACAGCAGAGTCACTGGGTCAAAAAGTCTGAACTCTTTAACGTCTTGACACTCATGACCTAATTGCTTTCCAGGAAGGTTTAAACAGTTTTCTTTCCCTTTAGCAGATTGCAGGAGTTCCCATTTCCTGTATTGATCATTTGCAATTTATCTCTTGCCCTGAGAATGATCATCTCATCTCCTTTAGTTAGGACTGTTAGTAAATACATATTTTCTTTATTGAATTGGAAAAAAAAAGTTTATATATGAAGAATATTAAGCTTCAGATATTTGTTGTAATTCTTTTCTCCAGTTTGATGTTTATCTGTGTTTTCCTAGAATGTGTTGTATATAGCCCAGGTAACTTACTAATCATTTCCTGTGCAATACCTTCCTGTACATTCTTGTCTTTCCTATTTTTCTATCTTTTAATTTTAGAAAGTTTGTACTTATTGCAAGTTCAGCTAAATATTAAATATTTAATAAATAAAAGTTAACTTCATTTCTGGCCAAATCATCAATTTCATAAACCAAATTTATTGAACAATCCCACTGATTTATTTTACAGTCAATTTTTATACCGTAATATACCATTTGTATTGTTGTTGTACTAAAATATATTTTAATATCTTTTAGAGTAAGTCTTAGCGGTTCTCATCTGCTTTTTTTCCCCATGAACTTTAAAACCATTTGGTAAAGTTCCAAGAACAAAAGAAGAAAAATAATCATTTCAGGAATTTGTGCAAATATCAAATCTATAAATTGTTGTTCTATCTATCTACCTCGTTTTGTGGCTAATTTTAATTAGAATGCCTTTACTGTTTCATCACTAAGTACGATGTTTAAAGTAGATGTTCCTGATTATGATAAGGAAGTAGTCATCCATTTCTCCTTGAGTCTTTTGTTTAAAAAAATCACATATGGTGTTGGAGTCTGTCCAATGCATTTTCAGCATCTATTGAGACGATCATATGGTTTTCTCATTACTCTCCTATATGGACCCTCACTCTAGTTAAATTAATCTGCTTGCTCATTTTTTAATTTTATGCTTTTGTACTAGTCCCCCCGCTCTTTTTTTTTTTTAACTTGATGCTGTTCTGTATTAGGATCTCTAGGTGCAAGTGATGGAAAACCAGACTGAACCCAGCTGAAACAGAAAAGGAACTATTTCTGATTGCTTAACTGGAAAGTCCAGGAGCAGAGTTGATTCAGGAACCCAAAGGGTGTCAGGAGGATTCAGTTTTACCTTGCCTAGTCCCTGGAACTTCAGACTTTCAGCCTCACAGGTACAAGTCCAAGGGGAACAGAGCTTTTCTTTACTAACAGCTGACACAATCTTAAGCAATTCTCTCTTTGATCCCAAATCGTTCACATGCTCCAGCCTTTACCAATCACTGTTGCCCAGCAGCATGAATTGACTGAGGCTGGGGTACCTGTCTACACTGAGACGGAGAGTGGGGTGGGCTGAGAATGGGGGAGAGTTTCCACAGGTAAAATAAAGGTGCTATTACCAAAAGAGAAAGGATGGGGTCCAGATGGACATACACATCAAGTGTCTGCTTTAATAGCTTGAAACCTCCCAGGACTGAAGAGCTGAAATGACTGGTTTTCTTCTGACCAAGAAGGGTGTTGTTTCTCCACGCTCCACAACCCACTGGGCTTTTACCTCCTTTCCGTGTGATGGCGACTCTGCACCAGTCACACTATAAAACTGAGGGTCCTAGAACCCCACAGCTCAGTCTGCTTTTAGCCTGACTTGCTTCTCTGGCTCAGGGCTCACTTGGCATTCCTCTTAGAAATTGTCCGCTTTTTTTAAAAAAAAAAATTAATTTAATTTTTTTTTATACAGCAGGCTCTTATTAGTTATCCATTTTATACATATTAGTGTATACATGTCAATCCCAGTGATGAATTGGGATATTGTCCGCTTTGAGGAGAACCTCGGCGAGCTGTGGCTCAACATAGGGCTGTGGGCTGTGGCGTGGTCTCCCCAGCTTCCCCACTTGGTGCTGGGTCTCCTGCAGGACAAGGATTCAATTGCTGATCCCAATACAAGCACAAGGGGCATAAAACCAAAGTTGCGTGGGTTCCCAGGTTTTCTAAAATCTTTCCCATCGTGGTTCTTGATTGATGGCGCTATTTCCTTGTTGAGCTAGTAGGTTGCAGCTCCCCCATTTTCTCCTAAGAGCTCCCCAGACCTTATTCCTTCTGCCACTACTTCTCCACCCCCAGCATTCTCCACAAAGGCCCCTCTTCTCTGGTAATCCTCGAAAAGGAACTAGAGCCGACACTAAATGTAGTGCCTCACAGTTTAGAATGGCACTTGGCCTTAACAGGAGCCTCTCTCCAGGGAAATCCACCTCGGTTGAGGGGAGACATCCCACCTCATTCAATCATAATATATTTGGGGCATTTCTGAGTATTAAAAAGGGAAACCCACACAAGGTTGAATGGAAACCACTTCTAATCACCTTTAACACGTGAAAAATTCAATTAGAGGGAAATACCTTGGATCTCCCTACCTCACAGATGTGTTGCAAAAATTAGAAAATTCAATTTTAGAAGCTGAAACTGCCCTTTGAAAGACACCGGAGTGTGACCGCCAACCGTGATGCCACCGCCGCACTGTGAAGGGTTTACTGGTGACACAGAGATGTGCAGATGGAGGCTTTGTGTGGCTCAGGGTAGGGCGGAGCTCAGCTGCTCAGAAGCAGTTTAATGCCTGGAGGCTGTGGGTGGAGAAGGAGGTAGATAGGGCTGGTGAAGTAACCCAGGTAAGTTGGCCAAGGTTCTGAGCGGGGTTTGGCTGTGCAGGCTAAGGCTGCCTCAGTCCGCTGCTAAGTACAATTCCTTCCTTGTGAATCTGTTTGTCTTGCATTGGAACCAGGAAAGGGATTTGGTGGCTCTCACCAGCTAGGAAACCAGTCAACATTCTTTACTTACTTGGTTTCTCTTCTCCCTTTCATCTTTTGTCTCTGCTTTCCTTTTCTTGAGAGCTTGTTATACCTCAGCAAATCACCACACCCACCAGGAAGGATTTAGGGTTGTAGGCAAAGCACCGTTTCCGCGTTGGCCCCTCGAAGATTCTCTACCAGGGTTTCTGATTGTAAAAGTGCACAGGGGAGGAAAATGAGCCTCATCTGATACACGCTGTGCCTGAGGACAAGAACAATGTGAGTTGATTCTGTGTTTTTTTTTTTGTTTTTTGTTTTTTAGCGGTACGCGGGCCTCTCACTGTTGTGGCCTCTCCCGTTGCGGAGCACAGGCTCCGGACGCGCAGGCCCAGCGGCCATGGCTCAGGGGCCCAGCCGCTCCGCGGCATGTGGGATCTTCCCGGACCGGGGCACGAACCCGTGTTCCCTGAATTGGCAGGCGGACTCTCAACCACTGCGCCACCAGGGAAGCCCAATTCTGTGTTGTTTTGAACCTGTTTTCTTGCTCCAGCTTGAAAATAAAAGATGCATAGTCCTGGGACTTCCCTGGCGGTCCAGTGGTAAATACTTTGCCTTCCAACGCAGTGGGTGCAGGTTCGATCCCTGGTCGGGGAGCTAAGATCCCACATGCCTCACAGATAAAAAACCAAAACATAAAACAGAAGCAATATTGTAACAGATTCAAATATATGTGGTACATATATACAATGGAATATTACTCAGCCATAAAAAGGAATGAAATTAGGTCATTTGTAGAGACGTGGATGGACCTAGAGACTGTCATACAGAGTGAAGTAAGTCAGAAAGAGAAAAACAAATATCGTATATTAACACATATATGTGGAACCTAGAAAAATGGTACAGATGAACCGGTCTGCAGGACAGAAATAGGGACACAGATGTAGAGAACAAACGTATGGACACCAAGCGGGGGGGAAGTGGTGGTGGTGTGATGAATTGGGAGACTGGGATTGACATATATACACTAATATGTATAAAATGAATAAGTAATAAGAACGTGCTGTATAAAAAACAAATAAAATAAAATTCAAAACAAACAAAAAAACACAAATTCAATAAAGACTTTAAAAACGGTTCACATAGGGCCTCCCTGGTGGCGCAGCGGTTAAGAGTCCACCTGCCATGCAGGGGACACAGGTTTGTGCCCAGGTCCGGGAGGATCCCACATGCCGCGGAGCGGCTGCGCCCGTGAGCCATGGCCACTGGGCCTGCGTGTCTGGAGCCTGTGCTCCGCAACGGGAGAGGCCACAACTGTGAGAGGCCCGCGTACCACACACACACACAAAAATGGTTCACATAAAAAAAAAAATCTTAAAAAAAAAAGATGTATAGTCCTTTCTTGTGAAAGGGGAAATGTGCAGTGTTGTTCTTTTGTACAAGGCAAAAATCTCTGGACATTTGGCCTAAGACGCTATGCATTTTAAAAGATAGTTATATAATATTTTACATTAATATCTAGTTGCCCAATCTGATTATTATTCATCTATGTCATCAGACTTTCTAACCAACAGACGTCATAATTGTTGTTACACTGTCTTAGGTAAGAAATGCTCAGGGAATGTGGCCTATGAGAACATTAACGCAGGCCAACTTAACTCTGCACTGCAGGGCTTTGTCCATCATGGCACGACTGTCCATCCTCACTGAAAAGTGAGAATTCAGCGTGCGTGAATCTGGGAATCCCATCTGACATATCACCCTGCACTATTCTCTCCCCTTTCACTTTCTATAATATGAGAATGTGAAGATAACAACCCTGCCAAAGGCTTCTCTACTACCTGAAGTGTATTTGGTTATTAGATGCCCTCGGATCCTTTGAGGTATTAGGTGCCATTGGCACAAGAAATTTGAACTGATTTGGAAATAGGCCATAAATTCCCTTTCTTTATTTTTGAAAACTCTGAACAGAGATGTTATAGCACAGACAATATTAAAATCACATATTGCTCCGAAATACAGTTTTTGTTTAAAAGTACATAGAAGCTGGTCATCTTGAATCTTATCACATTTTAATATTTAGGGAAAAAAACGAATGGGGAGGGACTGTGATACTATTCTCACTGAGCCACTCTCCTTTGCATTATTCTGAGCAGTGACCACACAAGGATTCTTAGCCTGCAGGGCACAGCCCCCTAGGGAGCTGTAAAATCATCTCAGAGCAAGGGAGATTTAGTTTGGAAGAAAGCATATTCAATGATATAATATCATTTTATATTGGGGAAAGTAAAGTTGGTCAAAATTATCTGACCAAATAGAAATACATGGAAGGTAAAAGGGTTCTTTTAGCCTGTGGCCTGGCAGAGCCCCAGTCTTATGTAATGACAGAGACAGAGACAGAAAGCAAGAGACATAAAGTGAGATACACAGAGAAAAGAGTCTGCGAGGACTTTAAAAGCTGCTAAAATAGGTAGATCCCTCTATTTCCCTCTTAGAGTCGTTAACTTTTCTGGAACTGATGATGAGAAAGACCACGTGTTGTGATATTTCTCTGGGAAAGGGCATATATCTATTGTATGTGTACTTGTATGTGCCCCATGCAGTCATAAGTGGTTTATTTTACCATGACAGTGTTGGAGGGTAAATTACTACTCTAAGATTATTTATAGATAGTGGTTTGAACCAGAGGGTTTCTTTTCCTTGTTTGGGTGATGGACCCTTGTATATCAAGTTTCCTCCTTCTGCACTATTGTCCCATGAAACTACTTGATTCTGGTGAACACAGAGCTTGGCAGTACTTGATGAAGCATATTTATGAGTTAAGTCCAAATGAATCCAAAACATATGGATTAAATTTCCCTTGAAATATCTAAATTAAAGGTGGAAAGCACTTCGAAGAAGGCACCAGGGATCTGCTGTTCCTCAGGCCAATTGGATCTGCTGTTCCAATAGCCAAGTTTCAGCTATTTTTTCCCAATCAAGAGAGTTGCAAGTTTGCCCATGTGGCCCAGTACTTGAAGGTCTCCATCTTGGCTCTCCTATGGCTCCTGCTATCCCAGGACAGGCAGACCCTGATATTCCAACAGTGACCCCACCAAGATCCAGAAGGCCATGCATCAGGCTGAACAGAGAATGCTTTATTGGGTGATACAACTTAATGTCTCTCTGGGTTCCTGCTTCATCCAAAACCTTAAGCACAATTAATGCCAAATGTATAGGAGTAAAGAAGGAGTTAGGAAGTCATCCAAAAGGCATTTTGAGGCAGAACAAGGATCACATCGGCTTTCCCTCCCACAAGCCAAAGCTATACTGCATGTAGCTCAGTAATGTTTTAAAAGAAAAACAAAACAAAACAAGAAAAGCTATACAGTCCTCACGGTTTCTTCATTTACAGATAAGCCAATCTCTCTTAACATTTGGGACAACTACATGATAGCTGAACTTTATGTTGAATTTATGTCTTTTGGCATTTGACATCTTGAATTGTAATAGTAATAACTTCAAATAAAGGTGCTTCAAATAGCTCCTGAAGTTGTATTTCCTCCCTGTTTGTTTAGTTATTTTTGTACATACTAAGGATCACCCAAGGATCTCAAACCATCATGAATCTGAATAAGGTTACTTCTAAAATCACCATACCTTTTCTATATATCTGTTTGCCTAGGCTTGAAAAAAAAATGCTTCTTGTATATTTTCTTATCATTACAAGGACTGTATTTGTTTGTTGTTTGTTTTCAGGAGATTTCCCCCTGGTCTTTGGCCTCAACAGAATATTCCAATGAAGTTCAGGCCGGTCTACAAGTAAGTTGAAATTTGGAAATCAACCTCTGGTTATTTGCTCTATCAGTGACCAAAGAGATTGATTATGTTTTCACTGGAAAGAGTCTGATAGTCCTCAGGCTAATGCCCACTTCATTGAGGCTAGTGGATTGTCAGAATTCAATATTCTTAAAACCTGACCATGTGCACATTTTATCAGAATCTTAGGTTGTAATAGTGTCTTTGGAATCCATCAGAATCAGGCATTTTGGGCACCAAAAATGCTCTTTCTGATCAGCAGCTGGTCCATGAGATTGCAACTGGATCAAGGCAAGTGGCCATAATTTTAACATACCTAAAGGAAAATAGTTTTCTCCCTCTCACCTGAAGGAAATGAGAGAAAATGCCTGCACTTAATGACATTTTAATACCCATTACAAATGAGATTGAATTTTATTCTTTTATAATTAGCACTCATCACAAGTAAATATCCTCATCAAAATACACCTGTGCTGAATAAGTTCCAGTTGTCAGGAACTAGAAAGTTGTCATCGTTTTAATGGTTTTCAAAATTTTACACCAATCTTAACACTCAAAGTCCTTGTAAATCTACATAGATGAACTTGGAGGTGAATTTTTCATAAACCGACATTTTAGGGAAAACAAATTTAGAAAATTTAGATCAGAAGGCATGTTTTGTGGCCAGAAATCACTGACACTGTTGTTTATATCCAGTCAATGAGCAAGGTAATAGCTAACTTGTTCCCTTCTCTATGTGGTCATTAACTTTATGTCTAGATTTTATCCCAGTCAACCTTGCATAGGGGGAAAATTATGAAAACACTGGAACAGATGACACCCTTGTGATGTATTCTCAATGACCCTCAAGTAACAGTTCAGACTTCGGTCTAGAACAAAGCAATAGCTCTCCTGAGTCTATGAGCTTCCCTGGAGAGCCTGAATGTTTTAATAAGAGACCATCCTAAATAGAGACGCTAAATGTATGATGACTGTATTAGGGTGTATCTGTTCTGCACAGATATTTCCTCCATCCTGTGATCATCCTCCAGGCTCTTTGGGCCAGACCTCCCTGTGCCTTGACCCCCTGGCTCTCTCCCTCAGGCTTTAAATCTGGCTCAGTCTTGCTCTCTGACTGGAGGGAGCAGTGGGATTCCCCATTAAGTATTCAAGACTCCACATCTGGCTTTTCCTCCATGTTTCTCTAATCAAGTTATTGGAAGCCAAATTTTCATGGCAACCCACTCTCAGAATACTGATATTTCTGTTTCTCCTTGTCACACACTGAGCATCATCCTTTTAGAGAGAGGAGGCAAGATAAAAATCAATTCTCTTCAAACAACAGAAGGACAATTTTCCTGTATTTTTACATGTAGAGGTGATCCTGGAGAACAGTGAAATGTCATTCTCACCTCGTGTCCTTTGTTCCAAAGTACCTGGTAGGTGCACATGTTTGTTATGGACACAACTTTCTTTTTTGCACCAATAGACCAAAATTAACTTAATTTGACTAACATCTGAATAATTCATTTATTGAAAGCAGTAAATTTTATGAACAAAATCAGCTATATCGAATGGAGAGTAGTATAGAGGTAAAATAATACAATGAAGGGTTTATTTTGTTTCTTTCCTTTTTACACCCACTTCTTAAGTCTGGCACTTGACCTAAATAGTCATATATGATTCTTGTGTGAACTTTCATGACATTACCTGCAAGACGGAGAAGTATGCATGCTTCAGACACTGACAAAATGTACAAAGTTTCTGTTTTCGTTAGTTTGGCTGCCTTTGTAAAGATTCAGTGAGTCTAGGAAAACAAGGTTATAAGGTCAATTGTCCTTGTCCCTTGTCATTAACTCTTGCTGACTACTTTTTATCTCCCTCATAGCCTCCAGACAGCGTCTAAATAACAAGTCCTACCAACTACAGTGGCCGTAGGTCTGACTCTCTGTGGCCACAGAGACAAGAACTAAGTAATTCATTTTTTTTTTTTTTGCCGTACGTGGGCCTCTCACTGTTGTGGCCTCTCCCGTTGTGGAGCACAGGCTCCGGACGCGCAGGCCCAGCGGCCATGGCTCACGGGCCCAGCCGCTCTGCGGCATGTGGGATCTTCCCGGACCGGGGCACGAACCCGTGTCCCCTGCATCGGCAGGCGGACTCTCAACCACTGCGCCACCAGGGAAGCCCCAGTAATTCATTCCTGAGAGTAATTGCAGTTTCCAAGGATGGAATGTTCTTGACGGCTTGGGGAAGCGTTATAGAACAACCAAAAGGGTTCAGACTTAAACCAAAAGTCTGCCAACACCGCTTATTAGCCCTGTGATCTACAGTAAGTTCCACCAAAAGTCTGCCAACACCCCTTATTAGCCCTGTGATCTACAGTAAGTTCCACCAAAAGTCTGCCAACACCCCTTATTAGCCCTGTGATCTACAGTAAGTTCCACCACTTCTCTGGGCCTCCATTTCCATACTGTCAAATGCGGATCCTAACACCTGCACCTCAGAGTTGTCATGACAATTAAATGATACAAGATATGTAGAGCGTGGTCGAAAGTAGGTCCCAGCAAATGTTGATCAAACTTCTCAGTGTTGGTGGACTAATTTCAAATCCCTCTGCTTATCATTTTATTCTCTTCCAGTATAAGACAGAGAGTTCAGTACAAAATTTCTGTTGTTGCAGAATTTGTTTGAACTGCCCAATTTCACTAGGTACCAAAGATTATTTAGGGCAATGCTTACAGGTCTTGCCTGCCTTGATAGCAATAGAAACTAGCATCTTTAGGTTTTCTGATCCTTACAGAACTTGCAAACTTGGTCAAGAGAAATGGAATGGGCAGAACTGTCACAAGTGTTTACCTATATCTTGTAAATACATAATTGTACTTTTGACATAAAAATCACTTGATCTAAATATGTGCATTTCAAGGTAGGATAGTGGATACTAGATTGGTAGCTTTTCGTGTTGTCTAAAATAACTAAATGTAATTCCTAATATCTTATCATACACAGTTAATGAACTATTGTTTTCCCCACAGAACAATTCCAATCCAATCTGAATTTCATAGTCACTTGAAAGGCTTTTATGAATTAAAACCAGTCAATATGCATTTAACCGGAAGCCACATTTTTTCTTGAACTTGAATCAGCCCTATTTGAGTAAATGGAGAATGGTAAGAAAAATGCTCATCCATTTCTATATGACACACTCAATAACATTATTAATATCATATCTTATTTTTCTTTGACAAGTATAATCAAAAAATGGGGCCAGAAGGAAGAGATTTCAGGCAGGAAACATGGTAAAGAGAAAAAAGATCATATAATATCTATTTACTAAAATGTAACAAAATGAACTCAAAGTGAGTATACAGCATCAAACATACACAAAACCTTACAGAAAAAAAAAAAAAGGCACAACTTTAGATCATAATCTTTGCAAAGTCATGAATGAGGAAAGAGAAAAACAGATAAGCAGTTCTGGAAATTGATATGCTTCTTAGTCATGACCCTCAGAGTTAGTCTTGGGAAAAGATTTGAAAAAACCCAGAATAAAACTTCATGAATATCGCCCAACCAAGAGAGACTTAGACAAGAGGGATTGTGTAGGTATTTAGGCAGGAGATGGGGAGAAAGAGGAAAGCTATGAAAAATTAGAAGACCCTCTTTAACACTCCAAAATCTCACCTGAGGTCAAAAAGCAAAAAGCTGGGCAAGACCCCTCTGTTTGCTAGGAGGGGGAGGGGAAAGCTGCTGGAGATCTGTGGGTAAAGTGGAGGAGGGGAACATTGAGAGCAGATTACATACCTCTCTAAGGATCCACCTTGAAGGGGTGTGGAAGAAGGGATTTCTGCACTGGGAGGGAGATGAGGAGAGGCCCCAGGCCAGGGGAAGTGAACCCTATCGCACACCCCTTAACCAAGCTGGTGGAGGCGTAGCAAAGATCAGGCTTCCAGGCACAGTGGCTTATTGAGGGAGAAAAGCGCCACCTTCTCTTACTCCCTCCAAACTCTTGGGGAAGAGAAGTAAAGTTCAAGAAAACACACACTATCCTGACTCCAAACTGAAGCTCTAAGGACAAAGTCAAGAAAAGGTGACAGAATGTCCAGGAGAATTCATCTGCATGTTATCAGAACAAAGATCTAATAGACGTTACACCTTGCTCGTAATAAATGAGGTGAAAAGAAATATTATGGTAACTGGTTACATGGTATTAATGTCTATATTATGGTAACTAGGATCATGCTGGTAAATGTTTTAACAATACGCTTTCTGGGGGGAAAAAAACCCCAATATGTAACATTTGCCAATTGCCATGGGGTAAATACTCCCACCAGAGCCAATTCAACCTGCCAAAGTGACATCACTGAATGTGAAGTTGGGAAGAGATGTGAAGATTTGACACTTGTGAATCAGCTTCACACACCACTGATGGTAACTACGCAAAAATTCTGCTGCGATAAGTATGGAGGAAAGGAAAAGTAGGCCTAACACAGGTAATGATTGCATTCTGTAAGATGATACCAGCCAGGAACTGGCTGGAAATTCCCTGCAATGAGTGTTTTTCTTTTTGGAACTTAAACAAACAAAAAGTTTTAAAAAAGAAAGACATCAAGAACAAAACATTAAAACAACAGAATACAATTTCAAAGCTAAGGAAACAAATACAGGATCAAAAAAAAAAAAAAGCAATTACAGAATCACTAAATAAATCAGAAATATCAAGAACCAAATGGACACCATTGAAAATTAGTAAACAAGGAAAAAGGCTTTATATCAATGAAAGAATGCAGAAAAAAATGGGATTAAAACAATTTTAGAAAGCAATAACTAATATAAAGATAAGTGATATATTTGAAATCGAAAACCCAATAAATGGTAGAGAAAATATACTCTAGGGATCAATTTCATTTATAAATATGAATTCAAGGATCTTAAAACATTAGCAAATAAAATTCGACACCACCTTGAAAGAAAAATACAGCATAATCGAATAGCTTTTCCTCAAGAATGAATCATATAATTCATCATATACATAGATTAAAAGGTAAAAACATAATTATTTCAAATATATCAAAATATAATTTAATAAAATTCAACATTAATTGCTAATTAAAAAAAAGGAGCACTGACAGAACTCAATGGATACTCCTGTGACATTCTCTGTGTGTATATGTATGTGGGTATTTTATATGTATATGTATAAATACCTGCAACAAAAAGCCACCACCATGTTAAAGATGAAATACCTAGAAGCATTCTTATTAAGAATCAAGACAGGGATGCCCTCTGTAACTACTATATTTAACATTTTCTGTAAATAGTAGCTAAGGCAATTAAGGAACACATATAAATCAGGTATAATAATTGGAGTGCAGATGCAAAAATTATCATTATTTGCATAATATACTATTGATACCCAGAAAACTCAAGAGAATGAATTGAAAAATGATTAGAATGATATCATTTAATAAGGAGCTATTTACAAAATTAAAACTCAAAAAAATCAATAGCCTTTCCGGGTGCAAATGATACCCACTTAAAAATAGATTGGAAAAAATGTTTCCTGTACAATAGAAAAATAGGAATTATATATTTTTATGTAAGTACAGGACTTGAAAGAAAACTCAAGTGTTAAACCACCTCATGTCTTGAATAGGGACACTGAATTTTGAAAAGATTCATTCATTTATTCATTCACTCGCTCAAAAAGTATTTATTGAGGATCTGGTATACATCAAGCACTGTTCTAGGCCTAGGAGAGACAGCAGTGAACAAAACAGACAAAAGTCCCTGACCTCATGGAGGGGGATCTAGCGAGCGGAGACAGACAGTATACCATAAGTGATGCGGATGAGTGCTGTGAAGAGATGTAAAGCAGCGGAAGGAGATAGAGTGCTGAAGATTTGCCTAAAAGTGTGTTCTTTCAAACAGCATGGCCGGATGGTCAGGGAAGGCCTCACTGACCAGTGGCATCTAAAGCTGTGACCAAAGGAAGCAAGGATGCAAGTCATGTGCAAAGTCCTTGAAGTGAGAGAGGATTCAGGTGTTTAAATACAGCAAGCAGGCCCAAATGGTTGGTGTGGAGTAAGAGAGAAAGTAACCAGAGATGGGTTGAGAGAGACAGCCAGGAGTGAACCACATCAGGTCCCTTGGCCAAGTACAACTCTGGCTTGCAGCCTGAGTGAGACGGGGGCCCTAGAAGGGTTGTGAGTAGAGAAGAGACATGCTCAGACTATATTTTATAGGGATCACACACTTTAATAATCTTAATACCCAGCCTATACAATTTGATTTGTTTAAATGACTCACAGTTTGATACCTGTTTATTTTTTTTTTCTGCTAGGGAAATTAAGAAAATGATATTAAACTGCATCTGGAAAAATCCAATGTGCAAGAGTAGTTACCAAAATTATGCAGAAAAACAGAAAGAAGGTAATATCCATCAAACCAGATATTAATCATATTGTGGAGCTCTCATAATGAATTCATTTTGATACTGGAGATCATGTAAACATGTGGATTTCAGTATTTGATAATTCTGGAATTCCAAATCAGTATTAAGAAGACAAAATAGTCAACAAACAATGTTAAGAACAGGCTGCACATTTCAAACACAAACAAAATGCTTGTGAAGAAGACCTGTGAGGTCTTATACCAAAAGAAATTTCAGTTCCTTAAAAATTGGTACACACAAAAATAAATTCACAAAAGATCTAGAAGACAATTTGTGAGAGATATATCCATCTATAATGTGTGTGTGTAAAGGAGTGCAAACAATCTTTATAAGCAGAAATCCCAATCATGACCCTATCAAGGAAAATACTAAACATTATATAAAATACTAATGTATAATAAAAATATAAAAAGTGAAATTAAAAGATAAATTTTTAAAATACTAAAACACATTGTTGACTAAAAGCTAATTTACTGAAATAGAAAGAACATTTAAAAATAAATATGAAGAATA